TTTAAAGTTCTATAATAACCCGCTATCGCTATATATCATACCCGGGTCTTTTAATTATTGTTTCCTTATTGTATACCCGGGTCTCTTACATTCTACCAAAATTTCAACTCGCATTATAGATCCGGGTATAATACATAGTGGATCTACAATTTTGGGGGGTCTTGTATCTGGCATTTTATGGTAATAGCAGGAGTCAGTGTAGAGATGATGGGTGTAGTGATTTGATTGGTGGGTGTGCTAGGCCTTGGTGTAATAGTTTTAGCAATATTATTGGTGTTTGGTGGTGATGCTGTGTTTGTATTTGTAGTGGGTTTGTTGTCTTTGTTTGTGTTGCTTTTAGCTATCTGTAACTCAGCTAGATTACTAGTTACTATTAAATGTGGAACAGACTCTTTGTTGTTGCTTTTATTAGACTCATTATCGAATTCTATTTGTGTGATAGAGTTGTATGGGATTCTGACTAACTCTGTATTAATTTTAGCTTTAGTGTAAGGCTTTATACTACTTTCGTATATGTTGGTAATGTTTGTAAGATCACAACTGCGAGTTGATTTGGGGTACTTGGTGCTGATGTTTACAATGTTGTTTTTGTATGTAGTGAGGTCGAATAAAATTGATTGGGTCGGGTCTTCATATTTGTATATTCATTGGGATGGATAATTGATTAGATTTGGGATCTTTCCTAATTTGGTAATATCTGTATAGAAAAGGAAGTCATCGCCATATTCTGGGATTGAGAAACTAACAGAGAAAGTAAGTTTTGACCAGTCTTTAATAGTGATTTCAACAAAATTTTTTATATATTCGTTTCTGAGGTTGGTGACTATGTGGTAATTAGGGTATCTTTAGGTTGCACAGGCTTGTGGAATGTAGAAAAATAGCCAAAGATACCAGAAAAACTTTTAGAAGTCATGTTTTTGGTGACAAGTTGAGACTTGGTTAGAACTGTTGTTTGGGTTTTTTGTTGTTTTGATATAGCAAGCTATTAGTACTTTGCAGTGGGGTATATAAATATTGGTAGTCCTTAGGACCACTTTTGCGGAGTGTTTATTGTTATTTACTTATCAGGGGGAGAACTTTTTTTAGTAGAAAGCACTTTTTTTAGGTACTTTTATAGGTGCCGAATAACTTTACTTAGAAGCCAGATATCAAGTTACTTAGTAAATTTTTGAAATAATTCTGCAGGAAAGTTTTTTCTTCTTGTTTCTGTTTTGGTAAAAGTGATTTACAGAAAGAGTTTTTTTTTTATTTCTTATTTTATTTTTTATTTTTATTATTTTTATTATTTTTTTATAATATTATATTATATAATTTTATATATATAAATCTATATAGTTAGAAACTAGACTAGTTATTTAAAATAGTAACAAACAGAAATTTATACCTATCTGGTTAGGTTTGAAGGTCAAAAAAATTCAATAAATCAGATTTATCAGATTTATCAGATTTATGAAACCTTTTTAATCTTTCAAATCTAAGAAACTTGTTAGAACTTTCGTAGCTTAGTTATTTGAGTCATAGTAATATAAAAAGCTATAAAAAGTAATATTTTTTTATACTAATAAAGAATAACTCTGTTGAGTTTAAACTTCAAAAACATAATAATAAAAGCTGTTCTCTAAATATAATTGTTCTTTTTAATTCAAAATGCTTATAATAAATTATTAAAAATCTATTATTAGTATTCAACAAATACTAAAAAGTTTTAATTACTTATCAAAATACAAGTATTCAATTTATATTATTTTACTTTTAAATAGTAAATTAGATTAATTATTCTTGTAATCTTTTTATTGTTGTTACTAATTAAACAATAAAACTAATTATTCAAATTATCTATAATATACAAGCTTTATACTATATTAATAAATTAAATATCTAATCTTCAGATATAGTATCTCTTAGAAGAATAACAAAAATCAAATGATTTTTTTAAAAAAAAAAGATAAAAAAAAGTTAAAATTATATATAAAAATCTAATTAAATATATAGGCTAGGTGCTGAGAAAAGAGACCAAATTAACAAAACAAAAGATCTTCAAAAAATCAATTTTTATATTGTAAATCCTATAATAAATTATATAAAAATGCAAACTTCAAAGAGAAATATAGCAAAATTTATTAATACTACTACTTTTGTGTATTAAGTAAAAAATAATTCCAATCTTATTCTAAATTGATTTATGTAAAAAAATATCTTTTAAAAAAATAGTTAATTTGGTCTCTTTTCTTAGCATCTAGCTCATATAATAAAAAGAAGATATATTTCTAATAAAAAAAAATTAGGTAATAAATGATACTACCTTTATCTAAAAAATAACTATTAATGTGAAGTTGTTGTATATCTAGATAGCAGGTCTAAAGTTTGAATCCCACAAATGACATTTTCAAAAAATAAGCTTGTAATATAGTGATGGTTATTTGTTAATCAGTTGGGTTCCAGAACCTGTAATCTTAGTAACATCATATTTATATTGAAGCTTTGGTATATAAAAATCTAAAAAACTGCAATGATTGAAACCTATTTGGAAAGTCCCAAGTTGGGAGTAGCAGTGATCATCAATGGTGCTACAGAAAGACTGAATTTAGAACTAGAGACTAAGATCAGAAAACTGAACAACCAGATTTTTAAGTGAATAAACACACTAGCCAAACTGCTAGCTTACTATTGAAGAAAAAAAACCTGTGCTTTAGAAGCATATACCAAGAGGAGAGAGACTATAAGGCATTTAGAACCTAGGCAGACTGACCCTTTTGGGTTGCTAGCTAGAAGTAAAAGAGGAACTAGTAAGGAATCTAAAAATAAAGAAGTTGAAATATAAGTACTAGAGTTGTTGTAAACCTTGCAAGAGTAGTAAGTATATAATAGAAAACTAATTAGAAAGGTTGTAGCTTAAGATATGGATTAGGTTATAGCAGTATCTAAAAAGATAGCTTGAAACACAAACCTGATAGTAGCAGTATAACAGATACTAATTAGTAGAAAGTTACTGAACATGCAGGTATGTATATGTGTAAAATATATATTATTTTGCTAGATTTATTACAAGGATAAATACTCCTCTAAGAAACTAAACTAACTAGAGGCTAAAGTTTTAGAATCTTTAATAACAAATTATTCTAAAAAAATATATTAGAAGGAACATAACACAGAGGTTAAAGCTAGAGAGTTTAAATAGATAACTTTCTAATTAAACTATAGATATGGTGGCTAGTATAGAGCCTTAGAGCAGACTACTTAAATTAGGCAACTTAAAGTTGTATATCATTAGCAAAAAAAATAGGCTGATATATATCAATAACTAACTAGGTAGATATTTATCAATACTAATCACCCCTACCGATACTCATTGATATGAATATATATCAATATATAGCATATTCAATAGATAGCGATATTCGGATAATTATTGATATATAGCGTATTCAATTCATATCAAATATCATATTTATTTAATACTCATCTACCTGCCGTTAACAATCGAATATGATATTTATCGATATATAGCGTATTCACTAGCATATACTTCAAGTGTAATAATATAAGTTGTTAACTATTGTTTAACTACAATATTGTATTAGAAACTATTTTTATTTACAAATTTACCAATTCGATTTAAAGTAATTATATATATTTATTAAGCAATAAAAACAATTTTATTTATTTTTTTTTTTGGCGTTAAGGTAACCTCTACGGCCAGGAACTTTTTATTAGACTTATTAACTTCAGGTTATACAGTTACAATGAGGGTACATCAAGCCACATGTGTACTTTTGTTACCTAATTTAAGTGGTCCACCTGGGATCTACACTAGCCGCCATACCTGCAACCTAACTAGGAGATTACCTATTTAAGCTCTCTGATTATTACTAATGAGAGTACAACTAGCCATACATGCAACTTTTGGTTGTCTATTTTAAGTAGTCTGCCCTAGGTTCCACACTAGCTACTATACCTGCATCCAAACTATGGGGATACACATTTAAACACTTTGGTCACAACTGCTGTCCATTTCTAAGCCAACCAAGGTGTAACTCACTATTCATATGCTAGGTTTTGCAACACCTGTAGATTTCGCACCCACTTTAGGACTTACTAACCATTTCTGGCTAATCTATCCATGAGGTAAACCTAACAGAGTAGTCTATGTCTCACACATATTTATACCTGCATGTTTGGTAATTTCCTTCTAACTAGTACCTGTTGTGCTACTGACACCGGGTTCGTATCTCAAGCTATCCTTTTTAGGATACTGCCATAACCCAATCTGTATCTCAAGCCACAACCTTCCTAGTTAGTCTTCCATTATGTACTCCTCGCCCTTGTAAGGTTCGCACAACCCCAGTACCTACATTCAGACTTTCTTTCTTTCTTGGATTCTTTACTCATCTCTCCCTTACTTCTAGCCGGCAACCTGGAAGGGTTGGTCTGCTCAGGCTTTAGGTGCTTTACGGTCTCCCTTCCCTTGGTATATGCTTCTAGAGCACATGTCCTTTTCCTCCGGTTGGTGACCTGGCGGTTTGGCTGGTATGTCCCCCTTTCAAGGACCTGGTCGCTTGGTTCTCCGGTCTCAGTCTCCAATTCCAAATTTGAACTTCTTGTAGCACCGTCAAAGATCATACTACCTCCCTACTCAGGGCTTGCCAAACGGGTTTTCAGTAATTCTGGTTTCCTGGATTTATTGCACCAAAGCTCCCATTCAAGATGGTGTGACTAAGATTACAGATATCTGTATCCAACTGATAATCTTAACATTAACTGATACAGATCTAGTATTTTCAAAATCATCATCCGTGGGATTCGAACTCTAGACCTGCTATCAGGGGGTGTGACAACTCCACCACTTCACTAAGTTGTCACACCCTAATAAAAACAATTTTATTAAATTGCAATATAATATATTTATTATAATATAAAATAATACAAATTTAAAGAAAAAAAATATATAAAAAAACTAATATTGATTGACTCCAAATAATTCATCTATTTCATCTTGAGAAAGCATCATTAACAAAGAACTTCGGAAGGTAGTTGCAGGTATAAACTCAGGTTCGGGTGAGAATTGCCTTAATTGTTTATTTTGTGAATGACCTGCAAGTTCATCAGTTATGATTGCTTCCACTAAACTATGACTGGGGCTGCCATTTTTAAAATTTATTTGTTAGAATAAAATATATATTAATAAATTTTTTTATTAATATAAAATGCTATGCAACAAATACTTACTAAGTATTAATTTATGCGATGCTTCATAAGCTTATCTTTGCATAAAATATTTTTGGATTAGGGGTTCAACAAGATGTCACACACTGCTAACGTAAATGCATAGTAATGGTTTGTCAGAGTTGGCATGACAACCGAACTGAAGGTAGATCTTGTAATAATCAAGACCCAAAATACCTCTTTGTTATTTTGCTTAAAAAAAGCTTGATAGCATTTGTTGACTTGCGAACTTTTCTTCTGCTGAATTATTTCAGCTGCACTAGCAGTGCTTTTAAGAGGTGGCAATTTTTTGTGACCAAATACTTTCCAAATTAAAGATTATACATTTTGCAACAAAGTTTCATAATGGTTTTTGATCTTTTGTAAAAGCTAATAAATAAAAAAAATGAATTTAGTATATTAAAGTAAAAAAAACAAATAAAATAATTTTAAATCAGCAAAAAAAAAAAAACAAAATTAAATAGTTAAAACTAATAAGATACAAACATATACATATTTAAGTAAAAATATTATATACTTGACTCTACCAACTTCTGTGAAAATTGTTAGTGAACTTATTTTTACTAAGGTTTGACATATACTTGAAAAAGTTTTTATTAAGAAAGCCATTGAGGGTTTCTTTTAGTATACTTTGAGTGGAGTAAATATGCAACAGAAATGATATTTGACAATGCTTATATATTTGTCTTATGGGAGTTTTATAATGGCTTAAAAAAAGACCAAGTATTATACTATATTATGCAAATGAAGTATTTACGTCCAACACCTTTAGAGAAAGATTTTTTTCATGTTCATTCTTTAAATGCTTAAGTTCATCATTTAATTTGTCAAGTTTTTGGCTATTCTGCTTTACTAAAAAATAAAGCTACATATTCTGCTTGAACATCAGATCATTGACTTTTCTTTGATAACTGGTGCATTCTTACATTCACTATTGTAAAAAAAAAAAAGTTTCAAAAAAAAAAAAATAACCTAACTAAGAGACAATCTAGAGATCTAGAGATCAAAAAATACAACTTATATACTGTACCATTATGATCGCATAGTTGTTCCTAATTAGGTGATTATCGATCTCAGGATTAAGACCTAAATTGTGCTCAGGATCCAGATCTAGATTGTGCTCGAGATCCAGAACTAGATTGTACTCAGAATTCTGATCTAGGTAGCACTCAGGATCATGACCTAGACCTTTTTTCTCTTTCTTGTGAATATTGTGGTGGTGGTAATAAAGATCTATTTTGTTTGCTAGAACATGATGATGTTTAGCTAGATTGATGTTCGGATTGATGTTTTGATTGATGTTTAGATCTACATTCATTAGTTTGAGAGAATTGGTGTACAACTGGGGTACGGTCAGATTTTTGCAATTTTTTACTTTTACTACTCATTTTTGAAAAAATGCTTTATATACTATAAATACTATTGTCAGAATCATCATCATCATATTTATTATTTGATAGTTGATGATAAGAAGTATTCGATTGATATTGATTTTGGTCAATATCAACAGTTGGATATAAAGGTAAATTGTAGTTTGAAAGTGCATTGTTATAAGGTGGGTTGGTATAAGTAATGTATGGTGTGTTGTATAGTATGTTGTAAGATGTGTTGTAAGATGTGTTGTAAGAATTGAAATAAGAAGAGTTGTGTAAAATATTGTTATATTAAGTAATGTAAAATGTGTTGTTGCAAGGATCATTGTTGTTAGAATTATTGTTAGCAGCGTTGATAGATATATTAGGAGTGTTGTTGGAAGCAATAGTAGGAGTAGTGTTAGAAGAAGGATTGTTAGTAGGAGGATTGTTAGAAGAAGAATTGTTGGTAGGTGTGTTGTTGAAATAAGTGTTGTTGGTAGAAGTGGTTGAAGTGTCATTAGTAGGAGTGTTGAGAGTATTATTGTTAGAAGCCATTTTAAAATTAAACTTAAAATTTCAAATTTCAAAATTTTAAAATGTCTTTACCTTTTTAAATTTCAATTGTTTATATATACAACTTTGGAAAGGATGATGATATTAATTATTATATATTATAAAAACTAAAAGTATTATCTCATTCATTGTGTTTGGTCAACTTACATATAGTAACAATTTATTATTTCTAAGTAAAAGATAATAATATTAAAAAAAAATAAAAAAGAATTATTATATTATTCGTTGTGTTTAGTTAACTTATGTATAGTGACAATTTATTATTTCTAATTAAAAAATAATAATGTTAAAAAAAAAAAAAAAAACCCCAAGATTATTATCTTATTCATTGTGTTTGATTAATTTACGTATAGTGGCAATTTATTATTTTTAAGAAAAAATAATAAAATTTAATGTAAAAACTTTTTCATTAAATATTATATAGTATTTTTTTTTAAAAAAAAAAAATTTCATTACATTGGTTAACTTATATATAGCATCAATTGATGAAGTCAATTTAATAAAAATTAATATAATACACTCATCGTTAAATGTTATATAGTATTAAAAAAAATGTACAGTATATGTATCTTATTTATTCTTAAATCTGGAAAATAATAATAAAATTAATATATTGATGATGTCAATTGGTCAATAAAGAGAAAAAAGAGCAAAAGTATACTTATCTCATTTGTTGTTTTGATTATTTTGCATAGCATGATAATTTATTATCACTACATGTATAATAATAATTTCTGAGTTTTATTTTATTATCAATAATTTTTTGCTGATTATATCAAAATAATTTATATAATATAAAATTAGTTTTTTGCTTGTATTATTATATAATACTTGTTTGTTTTGATCGAAGAAAGAATAGTTTAAATCGATATATATCGATTAAAATCATCTAGTCATTAAACTATCTGATTTATTATCCTTGCTATTTAACTTTTTTTTTGTATCCTTCAAAATCGATATATTGTTTTAATCACTCTTTCTTTCTCTTTCATTTGCTTTTTTCTCTTTTAATCACTTTCTTGTCTCTTTCTCATTTCTTATTTCTCTTTTCATCTTTATCTTTTAAATCTGAGGAACAGAATCCTGTCCAGATTCCAGTGTCCTGGCATCTTTTTTATTTCTTTCTCTTGCTATTTTTTATTATTTATCACTATCTATCGCTATTTCTTTTTTCTCATTTGATTCATATTTTATTTGTTTTTATTCACTTCTTTTGATTTCATTTACTTTTATTCTTTTTTATTTGCTTTTTTCTTCCTTTATCGCTTTCTTCTCTTTTTCCTTATATCTCTTTTTATCTTTATCTTTTAAATTTGAGAAACAGAATCCTGTCTAGGTTCTGGTGTCCTGGCATCCCTTTTATTTCTTTCTCTTGCTATTTTTCATTATTTATTGCTATCTAATGCTATTTCTTTCTTTCTTATTTAATTCATATTTTATTTATTCTTATTCACTTCCTTTAATTTTATTCACTTTATTCTATTATTTTTTTATCTTTTTTTATTTACTTTCTTTATCTCTTTTTTTTTTTTTTTTCAAAATGTATTAGTACTGTAACTATTGTAGCAATAGTTTTTTGAAATCTTTTGTATTGATACAACATATTTCACAAAGTCATCCTTATGTTAATAATTCAACATATACAACAACTCAAGCCATTCCCACTGATCAAGTTGATGAAAGCATTTATGTTTTTCCAGAATATGGCTCTTTTTTAGAATATAATTATGATAGCTCTATAATATACTATATAGGGTAAATATTTATAATTCATAAAGTTATTAGATAACTCTTAAAAGTATTATTAAGCAATTATATTTGTTATAGGATGAAGTTATACCAGAATCATCTCAATCTAATCAGATTCTTCTATAGACACCGAAGTTTATTAGGTAAATTGGTTGTATAAATAGTTATAAGTTATAGGTTATAAAATGCAGTAATGTTAAATTTTTTTAGTATAAAGATATATAAATATCACCTCTTCTAATATAGAAATTGAACCTCTTTTAACAAATATGTCTTCTTTGATGGAATATGATCTTGAAGACTATGAAGGTATATCTTATAATGATGCTTTTACCGATTTGGAATATTCACCAACTGTTAAATGGCCTAATGATGCCTATTGTGAATTTATGGAGATATTTAATAAATATCAACTATCTAACTCAGCCGGTGATGCTATTATAATCTTCTTTAACAAATATTCAAGATTGAATATTTCACTATTACCTCTATCAACAAGAATGAGTAAAAAATTTCTAGACAATTCCACCATCCCTTATATGATGTTCAAAGACATCCCAATTACAACATTTCAAAATATTGAATTTATGTTTTACTATCGATCATTAATAAAGACTATAAAGTCTTTATTAATGATCGATAGTATCAATCAGTTATTAGTTTTTCAATATAAAAATAAAAGAGAATTAATAAATGGTATAGAGCATTATATATTTAAAGAACAATATAATTGTAATTGGTGGAGGCGAGAAAAATCAGTATTACTTTCTGGGCATCGATTACTATCGATTATACTCTATTGGATACAACAACTTTTGACCATATGGGTAAATCCTCTGGTTATCCAATATTCTTGTCACTTGGTAATATTCCTAACAAGCAGAGAAATAAACCAGAATCTAAAGCATTAATTGGATATCTGCCAATCTTAAAAACCAAGAATTCTAAGATCAAAAATTTAGAAAGTTTCTGTAAATTACAAAGAGAAGTCTTTTAGAAGTGTATGCTAATTCTTTTTAGGTCTATAGTAGATAAACCAGAGCTTCACTTTGTGATTTATTATAAAATAGTCACTTTTATTCCTCGAGTTTTGATGATTTTGGCTGATTTGGCTAAGACAAATAAAATAGCCAATATTTATCAACTATTCATTTCAAGATAGCCATATTATTCATGTTTAGTAGCAAAAAATAATTTAAATAAACTAATCTCAATTGTGAGTATTAGGGTAAGTGTGTTACAGAAATGGAGCCAGAGGATTTAAATGGGTATCCCCCATAGTTGGGTGCAGGTACGGCAGCTAGTGTGGAA